GATGGGGTGGTACCGCGTGCTTTGCGGCTCCCGTGGGCGGGGGGAGAGGGTCGGTCCGGAAAGCCGAGAACTTCGTTGCTGCCTGTCTTTGAGGGCACTTTGCTTTGTTAAAGGGGTGAAGAAATGGCCATTCTTACAGATGGGGCGTCTGCAAAAATAGGGTTCGATGTGTATGCGAGTCTTCCAGTGTTAAAAATATACACTGACAGTACTTAATTGTGATGCATGTATGTGCCCATAGCTGCTGCTATTTTTTTAAATGTATACTATTATGTGAGGTATGACTCACGGGATGACACATCTACAGAGGGGATAATCTGAACTGTAGTAGTTAAGTGCAGGGGAATTTCCACATTAACAGGTACAAACTATTCTCATATAATTACTTGTTTATTGGCCTTGTTTATTGAATCTACGGGCATTCATGTTCTAATACCAGAAAAAAAAAAAAAAGTCTGACTAGTGAAGTGTTTGCTATCCTGCACTAAAATATCTGAAATTGGCAACTGAAACTAAGAAACTACAAAGCAGCATTTTGTTTTGAAGTTTTGTGTACCCACTATTGTTGAGAACACTTCTTCCAAGCTGTTTTCAGGTGTTTTTCAGAACGTTTATCTGGAGGAGCTTGTACAACTTGAGTTCTAGTGGCGGGATCTAGTGTCCCATAAAACTTCGAATATGTTGAAAAACATAAATAGACAGCACTTTTTCAGTTGTAGAAAACCAGCTCTGACCACGTGGGGTTTTTGCCTCGACTATTCTTTTGCTTCTCTACTTTCTCTTACACACTATGAAGACGTGAAACTATCCTTGAGAAGAAAAGAAGAGAGCCAGACACGTGATAGTCCCACTTGGAGATCTGAGTGAACTCTGAATTAGGAAACCTGCCATTTCATTTGTTCTCTGCCTTCCGCTTCAACATGATCCACACCAGCCCTTCTGCTTTTCTTCTTCCTGTGTGCTCTTTCCGATGTATAATCCTCATGGTTCGAAGCCAAATAAAGAAAATGTAGTTTGAAAGGGTTGGCTACCACGGGGTTGGGTTAACCTTGTTCATTTCAATGTAACAATGGGATTAGGAACCTAGAAAAAAAAAAAAAGAGATTTATGAAAAGGTTCAAGACTCCTCAAAGGTTCTGGCTTGGTAAGTGTTTCTAATGATTATGGGGAGCAACTGAATTTATTTTAACTCACAAACTCACATAAACACATCGAACAAATCCTGAGGTTGCTCTTTGTAAACTTTTTAGATTGCATTTCTCTTACTCTCTGACCTTTTCATGTAATGATACTGTTGGGTGTTTTCTTCTCCCTGAGTTGATATCAGCAAAACTCAAATTACTGTAACTGATATTTGAAAATTCTCCCTGTGTCAAGTGAAGACTTATGGTGCTGAAATCAATAAGACTGTTTAAAATTCAAAGACCTGCAAATCGTTCTGTTTGTCCTTTGATAGGGCCTGGGCTGATTAAAATGCGACCAAGAAAGCTTAATTGCTGCACTAATTAAGAAGTCTTTAATTTCTTTCCTGGAATATTGTTTGAAGCAGGGTTTCTGTTCTGCTCATGAAACTGTTCAGGGCAGGTATTCTCTCTGGCTTTTTTTTTTCTTTTGACAATTTCAGTATATTAAAATGTATGTTAAAGCAGTAAGATATGTTGACAGTGATTGTAATTTATTGCTCTAAAAAAAGACTAATATGGAGTTCACTATTGTATTAAATTAGAATTTTGAGGGCAGCTATAGAGGGTAAAATGCAATTTAAAAATGCATTGTAGCTGTTGCATTTTAAGGAATCTGAATACCTGACTGACGGGAGATAGGATAGTGCATCAGGTTCCTCCCCTTCTTCAGTTATTATTGATAATTAAATATTTAAATTCATTCAGAAAATACAGGAAAGTATCTTCTGAACATGTGTGAAGGAATGGACCAAGGGGAAGGGGAAGCATGCAGAGATAGGCACCTGATAAGGAAGAATAGTGTATTACCATGTTAACGTTCATCCACAATATTTTTTTCTACATTTCTTTTGAATTTATTTCCCTGAGAAATACCTTTTTGTCTTGTATTTTATCTTATCCTTGTCTAGTGACCTATTTTATTCACTAGTTTCTGAAGAGAGCGAAGTAAATTATTTCACAAAGCTTTCTGTGTGATCAATAGAGCAATGTTTTAGGTTTAATCATGCTGCATTATAATTCTGGTAAACGAATGCTGGGAAGAAGATTCTTAGAAAGGAGCAAGTACCGACAAAGAGAAGGTAAGTTCTGTTTTGCCTTTCATCGCTAGGGTCTCTCGCAGCAATCCTCCTTTCAGGAGCTAGCTGTTATTTAGAGGGAAGACTGAGAAAGAGGGAGGGACCTCATACCAAATCCCCCCCTGCAACGCTGAGGAAAATAGACTCATAGAAATCTAAGTCTGTGAGTTTGGATCCTTTCTTTGCCCTTCCACCAAGGTATTTACTAAACATTGAAAAGACGATTAATACAGTTGGGATTGATGTGAAGTGTTGTACCAGTAATATGAAACTAGATAGCGCAGTGCTGCTTTTCCAATTGTTGCATTATAGTCAAATTAGCACAGACTTGGTCCAATACAAATACAAACAGGATTCCTTTCAGTGACAGGACAAGTAGATAACATGCTTAATAGATACAAAGGGAGATTTACCATTCCAAGCACGACGTCACGCTAATTATGTTTACTCTAATTGAAAGCAAGGTTTTGGGGAACCTGAAATTATAGGATATTTTAAATAACTGAATAATAATCAAGTGCAGCAAACGTTGATCACAACCCTCTTGGTCTTTCAAAATCTATTGGAAAATTAAATGAAAAGTGGAATTTGGTACAAACAATGCCCCAGGGCAAAAAAACAACTAACACTAGATTTTCCAGTCCAGCCATAACACAAATCAATTTGAGCACACTTCTATGGCCAGGCTGCCAGATTGTTATGACTGCTAATTCACTCAATCAAACAGTGCATTAGCACACCAGGCACAAACAGCTTTAACAATAGCATACACTTCTGAACAGTCCACCATATATCATAAGAAGTCCAGAACACTTGGCAAGATTGCTTTCACGTTCTGTTTACTGCAATTTGTATTTATGTATGGTGTTTACTTAACAAAAAGTTCTGGGAGAATGGAAGCGAAGAAACTTCAGAAGCCACTAAAATAACTTTAAAAGTCTTTAAAAACGAGAATCTGAGAGGAAATTACCACCTGGGCCGATTGTTTAATGTGAATCTCTCAGCTGGAGAGTTGAAAGCAGTGGCAGCACATCCCCAGCACAGGGCTGGAAGAGAGATTGTTCCGGGCTTGGCAGATCGCACACGCCCTGCCTAACCCAAGCAGTTCAGCGCCAGAGCATCTTTTGCCGGCTTTACTCCCGCGAGTCATCTCCCTGGTTCCGAGGGTATTCGCCACCTGAGTAAAAGGGCAGGATTTAGCCCCAGAGGGCATCCTTCAATTCTTCCCGTTCATCCCCACGAGGGATAGGTGTTATCTCCGGTGATGCTAATTGATGCTCTGACCAAGGACGCGCTGTACTGAGAGATGCAGTGAGCGACGGCTTTGGAGCCTTCTCATCCCTTCCCTCCCTCCTCCCCGGCATCCGACACACGCATAAACACACGCACACACCCACACCCACACCCACGCACAAGCGCATCTATGCACATTGCAAATACCAAACGCCAATTAAGCTACTTGCTTATTTGCGGATTTTTATTTTATTTTATTTTTTCCCCCTTATATCGCTGTTTTGACTTCAGAAAATATGATTCGAAGTCAGTAACTAAAATAATCCTCGTGTTGATTTGAGCCTCTCGATCATGTTGCGATTATCGGAGCCGAATGAGGTAGCGGGTCGGGTTCCCTTTGGCTCGGGATGGACGGAGCAGGTGAGCGGTCACTGCCTGCTGACAACTGACAGGCAGGAGAGAAAGCTGCGCTACGAGAAGGAAATGAGAACCAACTTCCCTGCGTGAATTAAGCGAGGGCTGGAGCCCTCTGCTATGTTTGAGTTCTACCTGAGTTCTCATTAGAGGTCCTCACTCCAACGTGTTAATTCATCTACCAACAGGTAGAAAAAGTGTCTCAAAACAATAATTACGAAATACAAAGTCCCTGCCATTAAATGATGTTAAAGTGGTGATCTAATCTGAGATGTCTGTGCCTTCCCACCCGTACAGAATTAGTTCATTCAGCTGTTCACTCCATCCCTGAGCTCCCAACCCAGGCGAATCGAAACACAGACGGTGGAGAGCCAGCCCCGTATTTTAACCTTCGTGGTTTTCCAATACGCGGCCCCATCTCTGCCGGTGCCAGGGACCGCTTTTCCTGCTCCGTGTCCGGGAGATGCGTGGGACAGCGGCACCCCCTTTCCCTCTTCTTCATCCCCCTTCTCCCTCCGCCCGCACCGGGCTCGCCAAGCCCCCGGCAGCGGGGGAGGGGAGCGGGGAAGGGGCGGCAGCGGCGGCTCGGGCTCCCGCTCCCTGCGGGGCGGAGGGCGGCGGCTCGGCAGCCGCTCCAGCACTAATTGTTTCCCTTAATAATATGAATTTTAAAATGCACACTGGGCTATTTATTTATTTATTTATTTCATAGATGAGCTGTCAGCCTGCGAAACGCAGCCTTTTCGTCCTTAAGTCACTTAAGCGAATGAAAAACATTGAGGTGGGGGGAGGGATCTACCTTTATTATTCCTACTTTACTATTCCTATATTTCAAAAAGCAAAGAAGCATTTTTAACTGCTCTCTGATAGGGACGGGTGTGAGGATCTTTGAAAGTCTGAGTCCTTGCTTGAAAAGTTTCAGCCCAGAGGGGAATTTTATACCGAGTTATAAACTCTCGGTAAGAGGGGGATGTTACAAATGGAAGTGCTGACACAACCTTAACTATGGCGTGTAAACGGCTATGCTATAATATCCATTAAGCAGAAAGAAAAATAAGATGGCTGATCAATAATTTATACAAAGAGTACCAACTGCAGACATAATAACTGTAATGTTTGCAAAGCAATCTCTCGCTCTCCAGGCTTAACAGTAAACTAGCGGGGCTGTTAATTTCCAACTCCTACAGATAAGAATACAAACAAATAGCTTAAAGTTGTATTTTACTCGATATTTTGCATGCCTCGGTAGGATAAAATAAAATTTAATTACTGTGCAACTTGGGCTGGTTGAGGAGCCTCCCCCCCCC